TTTCTAATACAATTTAAATTTAAATTTCGAAATATTTTATGTCCATGGAATTTTAAAATGTTTTAAAGCATACTTTTAGTGGAGTTATTATTATTTTTTGATAAGATTACACAAAGGAAAGAAATCCTTCCATTTTTGAAGTTAATTTTTTCCTATATAAGCCAGGCCTAAAATATTGAATAAAACGTGCAGTTAGCAACGAAACTTAATGCATCGGTATAACATACACAGCCGTGAAAACAAAATACATATATAAAGTTTTTCGGGACAAATTAACTTTAGATGTCAAGATAAAAATGCATTTTATATTGCCTTTTAAGCTAATAAAAAATAATAAGAATAGCTCATGATAAAAATAGTCGAGTTTAGCACTGATAATTGGGTTTGTTTTTGAATTTCGCGCAAATCTACACGAGGCCTAACTGCACAGTTGTACCTAATTTAACATTAAGACTAGAGGGGTGACAGCTCGTTAACACCACCTACCGCCAACTTTTGGACTAGTCTTTTGCCAACGAATAATGGGATTGGTCGTTAAATTATGACGCTCCCACGGCTGAAAAGGCGAGCAGGCTCGGTGACTGGGTTTCGAACCCACGACCCTCACATTGTGAGTCGAGCTCATAAACCACCAGGACATCCCAGGCTCAACCCTAATAAGGAAGAATACTTAATTAAACTCAGCGTAAACTGACAACAAAAGTTTCTGATGTACAAAAAGAAAAAGATTAAGTTAAAATGAAAAATACATTGTACTGATGAATGTATTAATTATCAGTAACCTAGATCAGAACTAATCAAACAGAATTTACTGAACATTTGTTGGTTTACGAATAGCGTATCTGGTTTAAATTTGCAATGTAGTTATTAATTATTGATAAATATTGTTTCATGGGAGGACAGTGAGACCACAGTATCTTCAAAATGCGCCCAAAGGGATACTTCATCAATCTATTTAAGCATTAACTTTTCTCACCATTCAATCTTACAGGTCACCCAATGTTTTTAAATCAGCTGTATCACGGGTTGGACGGTTACTGCGTTGCTGGAGCATGGTTGACTGATGTCTTAAACACTAGTCAGTAAGTATTGCAGTAAAAATCTATTAATAAATATGGTGCGAAATTCAGATTGACTTTTAGTCATTATTATCCAACTATAACTATAGTATCCTAACGTACAGGATTGGAAATAATTATGGAAAGGAAGAGGTGATAGACATACAGTAATTACAACTAAATGGTCAACTTGTCATTAGTACAATACATTATTATGGAAAAAATATATAAATTGTGCAGTGCACTAGTATTTTGTATTTGTTTTAAAGAGAGAAGCATAATTTGTTTTTAAGTTTACTAATGTATGATTGTTAAATATTGTTCCCATTGTACTCTACTACTTCCCAACATTCAACGAAGTTGTTTGATTGCAGCTTGATACACATATAATCTTCATATTGGGACTTTATGCAGGCCAAATCATGGTTACCAGTATTCCAACAGCCTTGTTTACTGCTAGGTATCGTTTGTCACCACATATAGTACATCCTTGTTATCAGTGTCTTCCTGGAAAATGAATCCTTGTCCAACAGGTATTGTTTGTGAGAGAACGTATGATGGATAACAGTCTTATTGTACCAGTCAGCAGTTAGGGTGCCATCAATTTTGTGTAGATATATAACACCATTAGATGATATACAACTCACACGTTTATTGTTGTACGTTAACTGCGTTACTTCCCCCTCTCTGCCAAAAAACAAACTTTCGTTGATTCTTGCGAAACAATTTGAATTCATCTGTAAAAAATACCCTTCCACAATTCTGTTCATCCAATTAGCTGAAGTCTGATATTCATTTCCGTCTTTAATTTTGTTATTTCTCCTAAAGAGTGGTTTTCAAGTATATAAATTGAGATCTCGTCATGCTGATGTGTATTTTACTGTTCTGGAGGTAACAATTACACCTATACTTTCAGCTAAATAAATGGAAAATCTCCAATGGATTGTAGTTTATCACGTAAAGAGTTACTTAGCATCACTTTTCAAGAGATTGGGGTTTCTACCTCTTCAACAATATTAGTCTCACGTACATTTTTCAGAATTTCCAAACTGCTCCAACTAGTTGGATAGAGTAGCCAAAACTGACTTCTAAACCTCTGTCATTCGGCATTTCTGTGCTGGGTGATTAGAATACATTACCAAACTACTACTGGGAATAGTATAACAGCTGGTACTTTTAATAGGCATTATGCTAGTGTGGTACTCCTTGATTGGTTGGATGAAGCCAGTCATGATGTAAACTATCAATACGTGGTGCAGTTTTGTTTTTTTTTACAATAAAGGAGGGGCAATCCAGTAATATTTCCGTTTTATGTCCATTTTATTCGCTGTTTCTTAATATTTTATTTTGATTACTTTAGCATTTTGAAAACTATCATTACTCCTACACGCCATTCATTAATAGAAATTTCTTTTAAACAAAGGCTTACAACAATTTTTATCCAAACTGTAAATTATATATACAGTTTGACGGGCAAGATTACATATTGAGAGTTAATGGAGACAATATAAGTTAATAAAAACAATATATAATATTGTGTTAATGTGAGAATCATTTTATAATGGTCGTACGAAAATATACTATTAGACTATACTTTTGTTTGATATAATGTTTATTTTAACTGATAGGTCTACTTATGAAATCTCGCCGGTATTCACCGTAATGGAAACGTTTGTAATTCGTCATATTATTAATAATTTCATTGGCTGGGACGATGGAGAAGGAATATTTTCTCCAGGTATGTGTCACTGTATGTTAGCTATGGACTTATAATAATAATAATAATAAAAATAATAATAATATTAGTTACTTGTAGCTATTGTATAGATATTCTTATATTTTGTTATTTTTCTGGTCTTACAGTTTGTTTTAATGATTTTGTTATCTAATCTACGTTTTTTTTTTGTACTTCATACTTATAGGGCATATAATATAGTATAGGCCTATAGGGATAATAAGAGGTTCATATGTTGTTTTACGAAGATTTTGCCAGTCCGTGGAGAGGAAAAGGTTGGGAACCATTGTCGTAGGGCCCGGCATGGCCAGGTGGTTAGGGCACTCAACTCGCAATCTGCGGGTCGCGGGTTCGAATCCCCCTTCCCAACAGACATGCTCGCTCTTTCAGCCGTGGGGGCGTTATAATGTGACGATCAATTCCACTATTCGTTGGTAAAAGACTAGCCCAAGAGTGGGTGGTGATGACTAGCTACCTTCCCTCTAGTCTTTCACTGCTAACTTAGGGACGGCTAGTGCAGATAGCCCTCGTATAGCTTTGCGCGAAATTCATACCAAACCATTGTCGTAGACGTCATTGTGCGGTTGGTATTTCTAATATGTTATTCCTGCATTGTCTTTTGAGTGGAACAACGTTATGGCCTATATCCTCGTTGGCCTTGCACGGCCTGGTGGTTAAGGCACTCGATTCGCAATCTGAGGGTCACGGGTTCGAATCCCTGTCACCGAACGAACTCGCTTTTTTCAGTCGTGGGGACGTTATAGTGTGACGGTCAACCCCACTATTCGTTGGTAAAAGAGTAGCCCAAGAGTTGGCGGTGGGTGGTGTTGACTAGCTGCTTTCCCTCTAGTCTGTCATTGCTAAATTAGGGACAGCTAGCGCAGATAGACCTCGTGTAGCTTTGCGCGAAACTCAAAACAAACCAAACTGTTCTAATTTTCGGCCTTGTGGTTAGCGTGCCCGGTTTGCGAATCCGAGGATTTATGGTTCATTTTTCATTGTTTCGAAAACGCGCTCCGCTTTCTGGGGCCGTGGGTGAGATACAATAGTGATGGTTAAATACCACTATTCGGTGTAGCTGAAGAGTTGGTGGTGGATACTGTTAACTATCTTTCTTTCTTCTGGTCTATTAGTTCAAAATGCAGTTGGCTCTTTCCGCGAAAATTCTTAAAGAAATAAACAAATCTAAGCTACAAAATGGGCTATCTATGCTCTGCCCACCACGGGTATCGAAACCCGGTTTTTAGCGTTGTAAGTCCGCAGACATACCGCTGTACCACTGGGGCTAGTATATGGTTTATATTTTAATATAAATGCTTGTAGACTTTCATAACTTAATCACATAAATGTTTTGTAAAAACGTCAATCTACAAGGAAATTTATTATTGAAAGGTTTTCAATAAAAAAAACATACAAGTAAAATTAGGTTTTCCTGTAGTGTAGTTATTGTCTCTTTTCTTTAACAAAACTGATTACATTTTGTACTTATACATATTTTTGTGGTCGAAAATACATACAGAATATTTTTGCTGAAGTAGATATAGGAAGATCTGTAATATAAAAACATGTGGGGAAAAAAGGAACCTTAACGAATTTTAACAGATCCATTAGGGGCTCAAAATTAGGGGCGTGTAACAGTAGAATTTCAAATCTATCTTTCATATCACACAAATCGCTGTCAAAGAAGCCTTCCGTTCAATACCAGAATTCACTATTTAAGAAACACTGTTTAAATATGCATATCATACTTTAAATGTTACGTTTTTAATTTTTGTTTAAATATAATAATGCATATGACACATTTCTATAATAACAGACATTATGCCCTTTTCATAGTGTGCATTTTGTCTACCATATCTGGAACTATTCTTGTCTCACGGATGTCATTACTGATGTTCCTCTTTATGTAACCTCAGCACATGGACTTAAAGAGCAGTTGTATGTATATATATATATATATATATGGATACAATTTTTCAAATAAGCTGTATTACATCAAAAGCGTACAGGCGATCACTCAACACTGTATAGCTCTGACGAAATTATAATAGAACCTACAATTTATTTATTGTACATGTAGATGTACGCGCCAAAAATATTCTAATGTAACAATGTAAAATTATACCATTTGTACAAAAGGTATCATTAAAGTGAAAATACCTGCAGTTATAGCTCCCAAAAGCATTGAGGATATTCCGTCTGTCAGACATAATCAAAACAACAGATGCAGAGCTAGTCAGCATGTAACTGAAAAAAGGGGGATTAAAATCTGGGTGCTAGAATCCACAACGTCCCAGATCACACTATCACTCACGGTCTATAGCCGGTTGTGGGTATGATAGTTATCCCTAAAAAAACCCATAAAAATAGAAATAAGATATTAAACCACCCTTAGATCATCCAACCTTCTCCTTAGTATATTTACTCCGATATTAAATTACGAAATATACAACCTTACTGTACATTTCAAGTAATAATATTGACACTTTGTCACTGCAAGATATTAATAACTATTCAATATAGTATAAGCAGTAATACTTAAAATAATATTTCAGTTAATGTTTTTGTTATTAACTATAAACCCACCTGTATAGTTCTGGTACCCGTTTCTCCTCCCTTTTTAAGAACATGACTTTTAAGTATAACTGGGTAAACTGAGCTAGGCCCAGTTGCCTAGGAATATTTTTTTTTTTGGGGGGGGGGGGTAACTGAGACCGAATCACGTATCCTAAGATTCACAGTCCAGCACGCTAACATCTGCTTGGCCCAAATATGTTTCTGTTCAAATTAAAAGATTAATTACTCAAACATGGTGATATAAGATAACTCTCAGAGTTAAGTTTTTTATTATTTTTTCAGGGCTTAGCGATAGTAACTTTTGTTTTTTCCAAAAAAGTATTTGACATTGTTTGGAATTTAGTGCAATCAGCTAGAATCGAAGAGTCCTATTAGTTGGCAAATGTTTGTTTGTTTGTTTGTTATGGATTTCGCGCAAAGCTACACGAGGGCTATCTGCGCTAGCCGTCCCTAATTTAGCAATGTAAGACTAGAGGGAAGGTAGCTAGTCATCACCACCCACCGCCAACTCATGGGCTACTCTTTTTACCAACGAATAGTGGGATTAACCAGAACATTATAACGCCCTACGGCTGAAAGGGCGAGCATGTTTGGTGTGACGGAGATTCGAACCCGCGACCCGTAGATTGCGAGTCGAGCGCCCCAATCACCTGGCCATGCCGGGCCAATTGGCAAATGAAACGTTGAGCATTTTTCACCCTTCTCAATCCCAAGAATATCTGAAATATATGTATCTAAGAATGTGTTCACTTTGTAAATAGGAGGTTCTGTAGCCAACATGTACGCCATGTTCGTAGCTCGACATAAAGCTTTACCGGACGTGAAGACCAAAGGGCTTCGTGGATTTCCTCAACTGGTGGCTTTTGTTTCGGAAGACGTAAATATGAACATATTTTGTTGGCTAAGACTATAATAACAGGTAATATAAGTGCTAATTAGAATAGCACAATGACGTTAAGCACAGAGTAAGTGACACTTATAATGGTTTACGTTTCTTTATCATCAGAGGAACTCTAGTACACATTACCAACATACTTGTATCAGTCACAACAAAATTACGGTTATTCATAATATCGTGGACAAATAACTGGCTGGGTATTCGGTTTCTGTATATTTTTATTTATTTATTTATTATCTATAACTATCTATTTACGGACATAATAATGCAGGAATAAATGAAATAGGTAGAACAATTTTGAATGATGTAATAATAGCTGTAAACACTTTTTTTTTTAAAGATATGCAAGGATCAAGGAGTTTAGTGAATATAATCACGGCCTATATCTCCAGAATGTATATTTATTAGCTTCATATTTCGCTATTACAGCTTCGTCAGGAACTATCGTTATTCTACAAGTTCACTAATCCAATAAATTAGAACACCGCCATCAATAAATCGAACATCGATATGCGTGTTTAGAAAGCTCAGATCGTATTTAAATAATTTCAAACATTCTTGGAGACTCGTAACGTAGGTGAAATGACTATTTTGAATTATACACCGACTTTTCTCTACATTAGAATACTGTTGCGTCAGCGAGGTCACGTGACTAGTATCACGCCACGTTTCTAGAACTATCCTGTACTTTCGTGAATGCCCTAGCATTTACTAGATATATGTTAATCTGGTATATATATAAGACGCTCACAACGTGAAGGGAATAATGTGTGTAGGTAGTGAGTAATTGATCTGCAGTCAGAGAGTATTGTTGAAGTTCGTTATAGCGTTTGTTTTAGCGCGAATGTTGAAATCAAGTGTATCGTAAAGTTATATTCGGAAAGAATAAACCAGTTTTATTAAGTAAGGACTTGTGTCGCTAAAGTTTCGTCGGAACGAAGTTACGGAAAATTAATTAACAAACGGAGACGTAACAATAGTTTAATTTGCAAGCTCTTCGGCAACATTGAACGGAGCGATAAAAGAGCCAAAAGCTCGCAAATAAAAGTATTTTATCGTAGAGAAAAGTCCGTGTATAATTCTATAAACATTCTTGAGTTTAAATTGTTAAATCAAACCAAACCAACAATTCTAAATACATAATATATATAAATCAACAGGAAAGCTATTAGGATTTAGAATAAAATACGTCACGTATATAAAATACCTATTCATACTTGTATCTGTAAATAATATTTCATCTTATTATATCAATAAATACACAAAACAACGTCTGATAATAAAGAAAAAATCACACGTCTAAATGAAAATTTTACTAGTTTATTTTCTGCGACGTTTCGAGCAGACGCCCTTCGTCAAGCAGTAAAGACCGTGTTAACAATGGAATTAGGTTCAGAAATAGTCGTGAGATAATACAACGATTCTAATCACACGCGTTCAACGTGGAGCACGGTCACAAAAATGTCACGCAAGTATTAATAAAATTAGCAAGAATATGGAAAAGAAGTAATTGGAAGAACTTTTTAAATCTATGTACCGATTTGCCGATGACTAGATTCAACTGGATCAGGAAACTTGTAGAATATCGATAGCTCCTGACGAAGCTGTAATAGCGAAATATTAAGCTAATAAAGATACATTCTGGAGATATAGGTCGTGATCCTATTTACGTTTATATAAAACAAGTTTTGTTTTCTTTACTGAACTATATTTTCAAGGGGCATTATTCAACCACGAAAACAGCAAATTGGTTAGGCATTGGCACAGACAATTTGGTTATTATAAAAGTAGACGACAGAGGACGCATGGTACCAGAAGATCTGGATCGGTCTTGCAAAGAAGCCAAACAGCAAGTGAGTTTATTGCATTTTTGTAAAACAATTAAGAGCACTTTTATAACAAAACGTTCGATAAAAAACTCGTATTTAAAAATATACTGTTTTAATTGATAATTTGTAAAACTATATATATATATAAAAGTATTTTCTTTCCAACTAGATTTAAAAAAGGTAAAGGACAACACATTAGGTAGCTAGAGTAAAAGGTAAACAACACAGAACATTAGGTAGCTAAAGCAAAAGGTAAATGACAGAACATTAGGTAGCTAAAGCAAAAGGTAAATGACAGAACATTAGGCAGCTAGAGCAAAAGGTAAACAACACAGAACATTAGGTAGCTAGAGCAAAGGGTAAAAGACAG